TTGGATTATGCAAAGTAATAACGGAGTCAAATAGAGAGAGGCGGTCACGTATTATAGAGAAGTAATAGACGAGTCAAATGAAGGAGAGAGGATCACGGATTATAACGATGAATGAAATTATAACGGCGTCACATGAAGGAGAGGCGATCACGGATTATAGCGATGCAATAATGGAGTCACATGAAGTAGAGTGGATCACGGATTATAGCGATGTAATAATGGAGTCACATGAAGTAGAGTGGATCACGGATTATAACAGAAGGAGAGAGGAGGATCACGGATTATAACGAAGTAATAACTGAGTAACATGAATGAGAGGGTATCACGGATTATAACGAAGGAATAGCGAAGTCACACGAAGGAGATGGATCACGGATTATAAAGAAGGAATAACGGAGTCACATGAAGAAGAGAGGATCACGGATTATAACGACGGAGGAAATAACAACGGAGTCACATGAGGAGAGGGGATCACGGATTATAAAGTAATAACGGAGTCACATGAAGGAGAGGAGATCACGGATTATAACGGAGCAAAGGAGAGTAATCAGGGATTATAACGAAGGAGAAAATAATGTCGGAATCACCAGAAGGAGAGAGGATCATATAGCGAATTAATAACGAGTCACATAAAGTCACATGAAGGAGAGGGTATCACGGATTATAACGAAATAATAGCGGAGAGAAGGAGATTGGATCACGGATTATAACGAAGTAATAACAACGGAGTCACATGAAGGAGAGAGGATCACGGATTATAACGATGAAAAAAAATATAACGGGGTCACATGAAGGAGAGAGGATCAAGGATGATAACAAAGTAATAACAGAGTCAAATGAAGGAGGGCGGATCACGGATTATAACGATATAATAACGGCGTCACATAAGAAGAGGGGATCATGGATTATAACGAAGTAATAACGGAGTCTCATGAAGGAGAGGGGTTGATGGATTACAACGAAAGAGAAAATAATATTGGAGTCACATGAAGGAGGGCGGATCACGGATTATAACGAAGGATTATGAAGGAGAGAATCACGGATTATAACGATAATGACGGATTCACATGAAGGAGAGGGGATCACGGATTATTACGATGTAATAACGGATTCACATGAAGGAGAGGGGATCACGGATTATAACGATGTAATAACGGATTCACATGAAGGAGATGAGATCACGGATTACAACAATGTTATAACGGAGTCACATGGAGGAGAGGGGCTCACGGATTATAGCGAATTAATAACGGAGTGATATATAGGAGAGAGTATCACGGATTATAACGAAGGAGAAAATAATGACGGAATCACATGACGGTGAGGGGATCACGGATTATAGCGAAGTAATAACGGAGTCACATGGAGGAGAGGGGATCAAGGATGATAACAAAGTAATAACGGCGTCACATGAAGGAGAGGAGATCACGGATTATAACGATGTAATAACGGCGTCACATGAAGGAGAGGGGATCACGGATTATAGCGAAGTAATAACGGAGTCACATGAAGGAAACGGAATCATGGATTATGCAAAGTAATAACGGAGTCAAATAGAGAGAGGCGGTCACGTATTATAGAGAAGTAATAGACGAGTCAAATGAAGGAGAGAGGATCACGGATTATAACGATGAATGAAATTATAACGGCGTCACATGAAGGAGAGGAGATCACGGATGATAACGACGTAATAACGGCGTCACATGAAGGAGAGGGGATCACGGATTATAACGAAGGAGAAAATGATTACGGAGTGACATGAAGGAGACGGGATCACGGATTATAACAAAGCAATAACGGAGTCACATGAAGGAGAGGAGATCACGGATTATAGCGAATTAATAACTGAGTCACATGAATGAGAGGGTATCACGGATTATAACGAAGGAATAGCGAAGTCACACGAAGGAGATTGGATCACGGATTATAGCGAAGTAATAAACGAATCAAATGAAGGAGAGAGGATCACGGATTATAACGACGGAGAAAATAACAACGGAGTCACATGAAGGAGAGAGGATCACGGATTATAACGACGGAGAAAATAACAACGGAGTCACATGAAGGAGAGAGGATCACGGATTATAACGAGAGAGGATCAAGGATGATAACAAAGTAATAACGGCGTCACATGAAGGAGAGGAGATCACGGATTATAACGATGTAATAACGGCGTCACATGAAGGAGAGGGGATCACGGATTATAGCGAAGTAATAACGGAGTCACATGAAGGAAACGGAATCATGGATTATGCAAAGTAATAACGGAGTCAAATAGAGAGAGGCGGTCACGTATTATAGAGAAGTATTAGACGAGTCAAATGAAGGAGAGAGGATCACGGATTATAACGATGAATGAAATTATAACGGCGTCACATGAAGGAGAGGAGATAACGGATTATAACGAAGGAATAGCGAAGTCACACGAAGGAGATTGGATCACGGATTATAGCGAAGTAATAAACGAATCAAATGAAGGAGAGAGGATCACAGATTATAACGATGAAAATAATTATAACGGGGTCACATGAAGGAGAGAGGATCAAGGATGATTACAAAGTAATAACAGAGTCAAATGAAGGAGGGCGGATCACGGATTATAACGATATAATAACGGCGTCACATAAGAAGAGGGGATCATGGATTATAACGAAGTAATAACGGAGTCTCATGAAGGAGAGGGGTTGATGGATTACAACGAAAGAGAAAATAATATTGGAGTCACATGAAGGAGAGTGGATTACGGATTATAATGAAGGAGAAAATAATGACGGATTCACATGAAGGAGAGGGGATCACGGATTATAACGATGTAATAACGGATTCACATGAAGGAGAGGGGATCACGGATTATAACGATGTAATAACGGATTCACATGAAGGAGATGAGATCACGGATTACCACAATGTTATAACGGAGTCACATGGAGGAGAGGGGCTCACGGATTATAGCGAATTAATAACGGAGTGATATATAGGAGAGAGTATCACGGATTATAACGAAGGAGAAAATAATGACGGAATCAGATGACGGTGAGGGGATCACGGATTATAGCGAAGTAATAACGGAGTCACATGGAGGTGAGAGGATCACGGATTATAACGAAGGCGAGAGTAATAACGGAGCATCATGAAGGAGAGAATATCACGGATTACAACGAAGGAGAAAATGATAACGGAATCACATGAAGGAGAGGGGATCGAGGATTATAACAAAGTAATAACGGAGTCACATGAAGGAGAGGAGATCACGGATGATAACGAAATAATAATGGAGTCACATGAAGGAGATTGGTTCACGGATTATAACTAAGAAATAACGGAGTGACATGAAGGAGAGGGGATCTCGGATTATAATGAAGGAATAACGGAGTCACATGAAGCAGAGGGGATCGAGGATTATAACGAAGTAATAACGGAGTCCAATGAAGGAGAGGGGATCACGGATTATAACGGAGTAATAACGGAGTCAAATGAAGAAGAGGGGATCTCGGATTATAACGGAGTAATAACGGAGTCCAATGAAGGAGAGAGGATCACTGATTATAACAAATAAATAACGGATTTACATGAAGGAGAGTGGATCTCGGATTATAACGAAGGAGAAAAGAATGAGAGAGTTACATGTAAGATAGGGGATCACGGATTATAACGAAGTAATAACGGATTCACATGAAGGAGAGATGATCACGGATTCTAACGAATGAGAAAGTAATAACAGAGTCACATAAAGGAGAGGGATCTGGGATTATAACGAAGGAGAAAGTAATAACGGAGAACTACAAAAAAGAATGTAATCGGAAGGTCTCACGAAAGATAGGAAATCACGAGGCTTCTGAAGAACGTCATTAGGTTCTCCATTAGGTAAGCATTCCTATGGCTCTTGTGTCACTCGTTGTATTATTCTATTGAATGATATGATGTCTGTACACAACTAACATGTCTCAGAGATGCTATATTTTCTGTGCCTATATTACGGTTAGCATGTTGATTACCATACGTAACATGATATGCCCCTTTATGTTGTATCATGCCCTGCATGGCCCGTAACGATAATTGGTAATTTTTGTGTAAATTTCCTTTTTCAATAGAGTGTTTCTCTGAGATAATAGCAACTTATCTTTTTCAAATTTACAAGATTGTACTAAAGCTAAAACATCGTCAAAGCTCAGATTGTGTACACTTAGAATCTAAAGCTATGTCATAGACCTATTAGTATTGTCATACATGGTTCTATTTAGACGTAGGCACAATAATATCGTCCATTCACATGCTAAACCGTTTCTAAACGAGGAACGTCCCAACAGGCGCTCTGCCCTAACTTGAGCGCGTGGGACCCCTAGAGACACGATTCCGTGTGAGGGTAGCATACATTATATAACGAGACTGAGGGAGAGGACCAACACATGGACCAGCAATACCATCGTGATAATACCAAGCATTGATTCCCCTTTTCGGTATCGTCTTTGACACCAGATGGCGCGATATTAATATTTAAACTTATTACGATCTTGGGCGGTCGTGATTCGATCGCTGTCTGTCCTGTGTTACTCCCCTTCCGTCACAGAGCCTCCTACCAAGTCGATACTAATTAGTAACGGCAGCCAGGCAAAGTTGGGCAGGCGGGTCACAGTGATGGGACGAACACTTCTGCTGGGACGATAGTTTCTCTCATCCACGCGGGGCGAAAGTGAAAGAGTATCTTTATAGTGAAAATCGTTATATGTATTGGCAATACCTTGTCTCAAAAATACAGGAAAAATTGTGAGTTTTTAGTTACTGTTTGACTTCAGTCTCTCATCATCATGATAAGAAGTGTCATGTCCCCATAACTTAGTGGATTGGAAAAAGTGGTTTAACGATTCAACGGAGACAAAAACATCAATAAACAGAACTTAGTGTTACAGGTGCCACATCCAGAATCAGGACCTTGGGTCACAGGTGTCACATCCAGAACCAGGACCACTTACTTGTTCACTTCAGTTAACATCGGCAGCAAAATGCCGCGCTCGTTTATGGTGAAGAGTTCAAAAAGACGCCCGTCCCTTTCAAAGTCCGACCATGTCCTTCCTCAGCGTATATCCGCAGGTAAAATTTAATTATCTCTTTCTATTTTCCCGAATCCTCTTAGATCTCTTAAATATAAACACTTTGGACAACTAGCACCACGAGTCCTAGAAGGACGAAATAGCTGCTGAATGATGCAGTTTAATTCATTATCTGGCTCTAATGTAGCTAACTCTAAATTTGCATAGAAAGTTAATGGTTATTTCCATGTGTTTTATATAATGCATAGGTATATTTCCTTTATATTGAACTTTCTAATAAGCCTTTTCATATGGATACAGTTTGAGTCTTGTAGCCGACACCATTGAAAACTGTTGACACAGAGGTGTCATGTGATGTCTGTCACATACCTTGTGTTTTATTCAACCATAGGACATTAAATACCTGTAGTAATACTGGAGCTATCACATTCCAGATAACTGTGCGATCATTTTGTTTTAATTGTATCCAGGCCACAGAAACGGCAAATTAATTATCAAATTGGGGGATATGTGTGGAGTTAAGCGTTGAACACCAACTCCGTGTAATAATATAATTGACAGTTATATGGGTCGCTATGGACGCCTCAGTGTTTCATGTGAAACATTTTATGCTCAATATACCTCCAGACTCTATGCGTACAATTTGTTTAAGTTCAGATTTCATGAATTGAAATCAATTTGATATCGACTGAACTGAGATTTGAAATGCTGGATGTTAATATAACAGTCCGAAGTGAGGTGACTATTACAGATTGATAACATAAGGATATGATTCATTACGTTGTTAAAAACTCGTAAATAACGAATACCAGGTAGTTATTCTTCCCGCAAAAGTCTATATGGTGAAAAGTTATCTGAAATCTTTATCAATTAAATCAATTAATTGATTAATTTATTCTCCGTATTTTATATTTCTTGGTCTGCTATACAATTTTAAAATCTTTGATGAAATCTGGATTACCATTCTGCATTGAAGGATTGGACCGTTACACTGTTAAGGATTGGACCGTAACACTGTTTCACAACAGTACAAATGCAGTACACTTCAATAGTTATTTCAGGACTTACTATTTTTATCATGACTTTTCTGTTTAATATCATTTTATAATGTTTATTAACTTATTAACTAAGACACAACGGTACACAAATCTATAAGTTCTATCGTTATAACTAGGTAAGGATGTTATAAACAGGTTATCATGATATAAAAAGGTTAAGGTGTTATAAACAGTTTATGGTGTTATAAACAGTTTAGGGTGTTATAAACAGGTTAGGGTGTTATAAACAGATTAGGATGATATAAACATGTTAAGATGTTATAAACAGGTTAAGATTATAACGTGGCTAAGATCTATATAATACAATGTAGCTAACAGAACGTTGTTTCATGTTTAACGATATCTTTATTTAGTCATCAGCTATAAACTAACAGCAGTATTCAGTCACGATTCATTGTTAACATCATTAGTTCTACAAATCATGTTGATAAAGGTTGATGAATGAAGTTGATGAATTAGGTTGATAAATCAAGTCCAGTTAATAAATCAAGTTTTGTTGACGTCGAGGCGCCTTATTTTCAACATGACATCCTTGATTATATAGGTAGGTTGTTTCAATGTTATTACACTAAGACTTGTATGTACATCCAGATAATCTCACTTTCAAACGAAAATTGTCTATAATAAGTAGCTGGGGAGATAAGCGGCTTGGTAATCATTAATTACACGCATCCTTACACATAGTAACGGTGAACACTTGTCAACCATTTATAACAGGATTTGTATTAAAGTGATACCGTTTTATATTCTATTCACAATAAAAAATAGATTATAAAGACTCCGTTTTGGATACCTTAATGTCGATAGATCAATACGACACTGCTTACCATGTACATATATAATATACATTCCGTTCATAAACACACTGATATTTGGCGATAATCATTTAAACAGAAACATTATGGCATCAAAATCGTTCAACACGTCAATCAAACCATATGATACCGTTTTATATTTCACTAATAGATTCATAGATATATCTAATTATTATGGAAATAGATTTTTTAAAAGATGTATAATATATTTGATTCCCGAGGCCTTTTCGGCGAATGGCAGCAGAGCAAATTCTAAATTGTTATACTGTTAAATACACAATGATATTGTAGATAACAAATAGTTTTATTCCATAATATTATTCACAAATACACAGCGATATTGTCGATTACAAATTGTTATATTGTTAAATACACAATGATATTGTCGATTACAAATTGTTATATTGTTAAATACACAATGATATTGTCGATTACAAATTGTTATATTGTTAGATACACAATGATATTGTCGATTACAAATTGTTATACTGTTAAATACACAATGATATTGTAGATAACAAATAATTTTATTCCATAAAATTATTCTCAAATTCACAGCGATATTTTCGATTACAAATTGTTATATTGTTAAATACACAATGATATTGTCGATTACAAATTGTTATAATGTTAAATACACAATGATATTGATTGATACAGATAGTGTCCTTGACAAGTACACATAATATATTCAAATGTTGATACATGTGGACTGTGTTATATATATGAAATACTGTACAAAAGGGGATATCTTACACTTGTCAATTTTTTTACATTGTGAACAATGTTTTGTTTATTCAATGACAATGCTTGAACCTTATCAGAATGTGTTAGTTTTCATCCTTTTGGGATAAATTATTAATCTGGATGTCTAATTAGCGTCATAGATTTATTCGAAAATTGATATTTAGCAAATGATGAAGGTTGTAACACAATGTGATAAAGTTAGTTTAAGGAGTAACGCTCTAAATACAAAACGTAAGATAAAGTCACTGAATTTCGGGGTTAGTCCACCTCCCCATCTAGATTTTGGGTTAGTCCACCTCCCTATCTAGATTTTGGGTTAGTCCACCTCCCCATCTAGATTTTGGGTTAGTCCACCTCCCCATCTGGATTTTGGGTTAGTCCACCTCACCATCTAGATTTTGGGTTAGTCCATTTACCCCATCTAGGATTAGCGTAAATACACCTAACCTCCCGATTAGGGTTTTCATATATGTTTCGGCCAGTATTGGGTTTTTTAGTTGCCCGCTAGGTTTCTTGAATTTGGTCCCTTGATAATTCTAAAACAACGAAACATATGCGTAATGCAGTTTGTGTCCTATTCTTCTGGCATTGAACCTGATAATTACGTATCTGTCTATTGTACATTCTTAAAACAACTGACATTACGGACGCTGTATATTCAATATAAGTTACTTACCTTGTTTTGTCACTCTTAACAGGGTTAAAGGTAATTGACATTATAGGGTACTAATGAGGCAGGTTTACACATCACTGACCCTATTATATACAAGTGATCCACAGGGTCACACATCACTGACCCAATTATATAACAACAAGACACAGGGTCACACATTACTGACTCACATCACTGACAATATTATATACCAGTGACACTGGGTCACACATTACTGACCTTATTATATACAAGTGATACACAGGGTCACACATCACTGACCCTATTATATACCAATAAGACACATGGCCACACATCACTGACGCTATCATATACCAAGGAGACACAGCGTCACACATCACTGACCCTATCATATACAAGTGATACATAGGGTCACACATCACTGATGATATCATATACCAATGAAACACAGCGTCACACAACACTGACCATATTATATACCAGTGTGACTCCGGATTACACATCACTAACCATATTATATAGCAATGAGACACTGGGTCACATATTATTGACATACATCACTGACCCTATTATATACCAATGAGACACATCGTCACACATCACCGACCCTATTACATACCAATGAGACACAGCGTCACACATCACTGACCCTAATATATACCAATGAGACACAGCGTCACACAACACTGACCCAATTAAATACTAATGAGAAACAGGGTCACACATCACTAAACCTATTATATACTCTGGAGACACAGGGTCACACATCACTGACCCTATTATCTACCAATGAGACACATGGTCACACTTCACTGACCATATTATATACCAGTGAGGCAAAGGGTCACACATCACTGACCCTCTTATATACCAATGAGACACAGGGGCACACATCACTGACCCTGTTATATACCAGTGAGACACCGGATTAAACATCACTGGCCATATCATATAACAATGAGACACTGGGTCACATATTTCTGACACACATCACTGACCCTATCATATACCAATGAGACACAGCGTCATACATCACTGAACCTATTATATAGCACTGAGACACTGGTTCACACATCACTGACCCTATTATATATCATGAGACACAGGGGCACACATCACTTACCCTATTATATACCAATGAGACACAGCGTCATACATCACTGAACCTATTATATAGCACTGAGACACTGGTTCACACATCACTGACCCTATTATATATCATGAGACACAGGGGCACACATCACTTACCCTATTATATACCAATGAGACACAGCGTCATACATCACTGAACCTATTATATAGCACTGAGACACTGGTTCACACATCACTGACCCTATTATATATCATGAGACACAGGGGCACACATCACTGAACCTATTATATAGCACTGAGACACTGGTTCACACATCACTGACCCTATTATATATCATGAGACACAGGGGCACACATCACTTACCCTATTATATACCAATGAGACACAAGGTCACACATCACTGACCCTAATATATATCATGAGACACAGGGGCACACATCACTTACCCTTTCATATACCAACGAGACGCAGCGCCACACATCACTGACCCTATAATATACCATGAGACACAGGGTCACACATTACTTTCCCTATTATATACCAATGAGACACAGTGTCACACATCACTGACCCTATTATATACCAATGAGGCACAAGATCACACATTACTGACAATATTGTATAGCAATGAGACACATGGTCACATTTTACTAACACACATCACTGAACCTATTATATACTTGTGAGATACAG